TATATTATAATTATTTAATATACTGTGTATTTATGTTTTCTACCATTATTGAGGATCATTGATGTGTTTTGTGTCCTCCATGGAAAAGGGGGGCTGGTGGATGCAGATGTTTATTAGCCCAGTTTGTGTCCCAGTGCTCTGAACAATCCCTGTCAGTGTGTCTGTGCTGCTATAAATACAGAGAGCACAGCGGGGGGGTAACTGATACTGCCCCCAAACATGATCTCATACAACAACTGGGGCAATTATTTGTGTTATTAACCCATTTATCAAAGTGAAGGGGACTAAAGTGAAAGTGACGAGTTCTCTGTTCCTCAGCAGTATAGAAATAATAAAATAATATTATTTAACAGGATATTAATCCAGTGAGATATTAATCATATTAATTAAAATGGACGTTTAAACCAAAATTTATATTTCAGCTGCCAGTGGGCTGATAGTGATCAATCAGCTCCTGAGATATCGTCCATATAGCTGCGATTATTCGCACTGCTACGGGAATGCATGCTACACTGTCACAAAATATCAGGCTTTCAGCATCAGTCAGTGTAACAGCTGCAGACCCAGACTGAACATTTACTGGTGGAAAATAGAGTAAGAATTACACTTTAACACATCAGATGATCTGGACTGAAGCGAACCGGATCAGAGCACGCACCTGAAGTCCATCCAGTCAGTGTGTGAGGACTGCCAACGGGCATCTGGTTTACTGTGTTTGTTAGATATGAGCGGCTCAGAGAGGATGAGGGACGCCTGCGCTGTAAAAAAATAAAATGTAAAAAACAGCAGCAGCTGGAGCATCTTTATAATGTTTAATTAAAGATATTTACAGTGTAAAACAATGAGCTATACATCCAGGTGAACTCTGCTATAACACAAATAATCAGGCTTACATTTACAGCAGAGTGCTGTTATCATTGGATTTTTATTTTAATTCTAATTTTGAAAGTTATAGAACTGTAATAAGTCATTATGTAAGTTAAAGTAATTATTGTAGTTTTCAGTGATTTAAAAACTGTATTTTGACAGTTTTGACAGTGTATGCTTATACACTGATAAACTAAGTAAATAGACAGTGCGTCTCTGTGATCGTTTACACTGTATTTAGAGCTGTATGGACTCTTGTTAATACCAGCTGGAACTGGTCCTGGCAGACCAGAACCATTCTCTTTGAACCGGTTCGAGTCCTGTATGAGAACCTCTGTGCTCTCTGTCCTCAGGGGATGACCGAGGCGGAGGAGGACAAGCTGCTGGCGCTTAAAGACTTCATGCTGAAATCCAACAAGGCCAAAGCCAACATGGGCGAGCAGAGTCACCTGGGCGAGGCGGCCCAGACCGGCGTCATCGACCTGGCCACGCTCGGCATCACGGGCCGGCAGGTGGACCTGGTCAAACCGAAGGCCGAGGCCGAGGACAAGAGAGGTAACGGACATCACGATGCTGTCTTTACACACACACAAACAAACGTCTTTCCGTCAATGTTTCTGAGTTGATCCAGAGTGGTTTAAAAATGGGTTTTTATGTCGTAGAGCAGCGGTTCCCAACCTGAGGGTCGGGACCCCCTCGAGGGGTCGCCAAAGCTTTCACGGCGGGTCGGAGAAAATGAAAAAGCACAGAACGTTTCTTATTTTGGTGAAAGAAACAATATTTATCTTTTGTTCAAGGGCTTTTTATTTTGTTGGTATTATACAGTATCACTGTACCATTAATAATCAAACATAATGAATTAATGTACATATAAATATAGTCAATAGTAACCAAACTGAGAACCCTCCTGTACAACAGTGAACTTCCTCCATCGTCAGTCGGTGTTTCAGGTCTTTTTTCCACGTGAAACAGAAATCAGAGAGCTAACTTCATTTAATAACAATATAATCAATAATGGTATTTTCTGGTACAGCCCGACAATAAACGGCTGTAATTTGCTTGCTAGATTGTATGCTCACATAAATGTAATTGTATAAGTTATTATTATCATATACCTTTAAAACTTCCAATAAAAGCAGGTCTCTAATAGACGCAGGTCTCTTTTAAAGCCTGCTGTGGCTACACGTTCTGACAAATAAACGCAGGTCTCCAATAGAGGCCTGGTCTGGATTTTATAGAATTATCTCGATGGTATAAACCTCTTGAAACCCACCAGGTCCGCCTGCTTGATGCGGAGTGTTAAGTCTGTGTTTGATCTTCTTGGTTCAGTATGTTACATAATGAACATCATTAGATCAGTTAGATTCTCCACAATTCTCCACAATTTCTCTATATTTTACGAAAAACTATCAACATCAAAGTATATAACGTTAATTCATTCTGACTCGATCATAATAATCTCGTTAGTTGTCAAATTTGCTGAACAAAATTCAAGAGAAGCAGCAGTAGGAGTTTAGTTTTAGTTTGAGTTTAGTTGCTAAAGAATTAAAGCCTGTCCCCAATAAAGGCAGAGTTTCAGTGATTTAAGCAAATAAACGCCCGGGCTATTATTAGAAGTTTTACGGTATTATTATTTAAGGATTATTTTGGAAAGTCAACTATAACGTTGGGATGTCTTGATACCAGGAATGTATTGATCAATACTGGTTTAAATTTGTCCCGATCAATTGATTTGCCCCTAATCCCCATTTAATCCGACATCCTTACTGTCGGGTCCTGAAGCTAAATATTCAAACGTGTAGTTAAAATCGAAGCCTTCATGTTTCCGTCTTGTGGTGTCGATCTGCTTCGTCTGTTTGATATTGTCGCTGTTTTTATTGATTTCAGAGTCCGCCGCTGCAGTATCTGGTACATCGTTTCATATGATTTTGTTTGAAGTGATACGCACGCTTGCTGTGAAAGTAACCGCTCAAGGTCCCATGAAATTAAAAACATCTTCCTCCATGTTGGTTTCTCATGTTCCCGCTTTCTGCTCCACCGTGTCATTGTGAGCCAAAGTCCTTTTTTTTTTTTTTTAGCCCCTTTAATTGTTTTTGTGCTTCTTCTGGAAGTTTAAATCCATTGAGCTTCAAACCACAGGATAAAATTCAGATCTCTGAGCTGTTTCATGGGACCTTCAAAGTCTGAGTCAAGAGTCTGATTCTGCATATAAGTGTGTAATCTCTGTTTAAGTGCTAACAGCTGCATCCTGGTGCTGTTTTTTTTCATTTTCTCAACTGTTTCTAATTCCAATAATTTAGCTGTGTGACACTAAAAAAGTCCCACGAGATAACCCACATCTAACTACCCACAGTTTGTCCTGAGGGTGGTGCTGCAGGGAAGGACAAACGTTGTGTACAAGTTTACAGCAATCTGACCTGTTGTTGCTTCAGAAGTAAGAGGACTGAATGTGGAGCTGAAATAATGATTCAGTTCATCAGTCGGCAAAACGTTTTTTAAGCAGAAATACAAAAAAAAGAACTAGTGGATATAAACAAAAGCAGCCCTGTGGATGAAGGACTGACTGATCCTTCAAACAGTTAGTGTAGAACTGGGGCAGGCAGGTTGTTTTGAATCCCAGATTGAAGAAAATAATCTTTACTGAAGCTTCAGAAGGAAACAGACGAGTCCGTCTGAGAGGATTTACTTTCTTTTCTGATCTTTTTATGTAGTTGTCCTCTGGTGGATAAAAGCCTAATCCACTCAGTGAAGGGCTTCCAGGTGTTGTCAAAGGATTGGCTTGAGTCTTTTCAGTAGGTGTGGGTAAAAATAGGGATTCATCAATGCATTGCAATATATTTTTTCCCAATTCAATATCGATTCATTAAATCCTCTGAATCGATTCAAGCCCCTGGCCAGTGGGGGCGCGTGGAGCAACACCTTTGTCTGATTTTCATTGCACAACAACAACATGGCAACCAAAGCAGGTGCGACAGTGTTCAACCAGCCGCCTTCCACTTAAAAGCAGTGTAAACCCGGAACCACAGGAAATAGACAGAATTAAGGTAGTGTTTAAGCTGTGCCAGCAGAACTAAAATACTGCAATAGCACACAACAACTTTGCGCAACCACTTAAGCCGACACCATGCAGACGCTCTGCAGCAACCCGCGGCTCAAACCTGTGGATTCAAAACAGACGCAACTCGACAGATCCTTCCTTTGCAAACTGCCGCCAAACTCTGCCCGCGCACAGAAGATAACGGAGTCTGTGGCCGTCTTCATTTGTAAGGACTACGACCGTACAGTGTCATGGAAAACGTTTGTTTTAAGAAGATGGTGTACAAACTCGAACCACGATACGCCATACCAACACGCAAACACATGATGGAAGTTGCCGTCCCGAAGCTAGGTACTCTAATGAATTATTTGTGTAATACTATTTATTACTGAATCAATATCGAAGCATTTAAATCAATATCGAATCGATATCGAATCAAATTGTGACCTAAAGAATCAAAATTGAATCGAATCGTGAGGATCTTAACAATACCCAGCCCTAAATAAAACCCATCACAGAATTGCTATAGAGACAAATTGGTGGTGGTTTGAACCTCAGTTGTACGGGCTAAAGTACTGGAATTAGCAGAGAAAACTTGTTTTGTAAGATGGAGATACAACCATAATTCAAGGCTAAAGTAGCGAGTTATAATAATTATGATATCTTCCGGCGTCACATAATGCCGGTCTACCATCTGCCTGAATCCACGTGAATGCATTAGCTTACCTAACCTGGACACATTAGCATGGTTAGCTTTATTGCAGTTTGTAGTATTTACAGCTCAGTCTAATTACTCAGCCCTTTCATTTTTTATCTCAACCAATGAGATTATCTCTTCCTTATTCTCTATCCTGTGACCTGGGTTGGTATTTGTGTGTATGTGACTTACAGTGAGTACTTACTGTGTAGCCTGCGTGTGTGAACCTTGTATTACGTTGTGTATTTTGGATAATAAAATAATCTTGCTTAATGGCTGAGAAAAGCTGCTGTACAGAGACTGAGGTGAGCGAATGGACCTCTGCCAGGGCACCCTATGCAGCGTCATAAGGGACATTTTTCTTGGCAAAATTATGGAATTACAGTGAGCTGAGGACAGTTCTTCAAGATTGGATAAGGGATGAATAATTTAAGGCCTAATGATTAATCCAGTGGCAAAACGCCCTGTTGAAATATAGCGTCTCTGAAGGTAACTTTAGCCCTCAAGAAAGACGGATGTGGAGGTTTGTCATGCGGTTTTCTAAGGGAAATTTCATCTTGGGCACGACATAAATCTTACTGGCAGGGGAAAAGTACAATAAGTTCATCGTGAATATGTCTACATCACCACAATTATAGCTCAATTGTCCAGGTTCCCAAGAAGCAACATGTAAACTAAGTACAAATCACCTCCTGAAGTTCGGATTGGTCCAATGTTTAATCCTGTTGTTGATACAGACTTTCAAGCTACTTTGAGGATGAGCTTACAGGGTTTGCTGTGAGTTAAAGACTCTCATACTGTCAGTTTTTACGTATAGCTTACTGAGAAACTTCCAAAACATTTTGAACAGTTGCTGGATTACAGCATTAAATGGTCTAAAATGTCTGTTTGTGTGTGTGTTGCAGGAATTAGAAAAAGCAAGACAGGCAGAGAGTGCAAGCTGCTTTACTTTCCCTGATAAATATAGATAGCACTAAGGGCAACAGTATATTGCCTTACACAGTGAAAAACACAACCTGAATCAATTTCACTATTAGCCAGTTCAGTGTTTTAATTAAAAAAACAACAGACGTCTTTGAAGAAATCAATTCCAACTAAAGAGGCAAAAGAGAGTATTCCCCTGCCAGTTCCACATCCCTCAGCTCTGTCAATTCAAAGACATGTATGGAGATGCTTTTGGGCCTTTCTTTCGTATGCAGTCAGTACAGCATTAAACAGAAAATGTCTTAGAAGCGTTGGCACAGACTTTTTTTTTTCATCTTCGTTTGAGAACCGACACCGTAGACAGACCGGGAACATAGGGATAAAGAGGGGGTTAACACGCAACAGAGGTCACCATGGATGTTTTATTTATGCGGTATGTGCCCCAACCATTAGGCTGTCAGGGTGTCCCAGGACCTACCTGACTGGGCCGGATGGTTTGTTACACAGTAGTGCTGTCAAAATTGGTGCTTTGTCCATAAACCAATACATAACATAAAAGACCCCCTCTGACGTGCTGCGGTCAGCGCATCATTTCCAACTGAGTACTTGCTGGTAGCACATTTTATCTGCTCTAGATCAAGCCAGTTAGTTGTTTTATATTCTTAACTACATCGGATAATTGCTCAAGCTCTTATTTTAGCGACTTTGTCCCTAATTTGTTGTTGTTTCACTGTTCACTTCTGCTACCTACAGTGCTTTAGCGCAGCGGATGCTTGAACCACTGTAGTTATAGTAGACAATGTAGCTCTTGTTATTTGCTGCTATGTAATTATTTCCAAACGGGGGGTTCTTTGATCGCTCGGAGTTGAATT